GCAAGAACCATTTGATGAAAGAAAACTACCTTTTTACTATTCAATTACTTTGGAATATTAGCTGGAAAATCATTTGTCCATAAATTGGTTCTTTCTGGATTTTCTATTCTGTTTCATTGCTGTATATGTTCAGTCTTACTCTAAAACCAAATTTAATTATTATAGTTTTATAGGAAGTCTTAAATGTAAGCCTCCAAAACTTTGTCATTTTTTCCCAAAATTATTTTGATAGCATAGGTTTATTCTATTTTCATACATATATTTAAATCAACTTGTCAATTTCATTTTTAAAAAAGGACCTGCTGGTATTTGATTGGGATTATACTGAATTTCTAGACAATTTGAGAGAATCAATATCTTAACAATATTGAGTCTTCTAATCTATGAACATGGTATGCCTCTTCACTTATTTACTGTTCTTTCATTTCTGTAAGCACTTTTTTGTGGTTTTTAATATAGAAGTTTTGCACGTTTTGTTAATATTTTTTTTTTTAAGTTTTAGTTATCCTTGTCTGCTAATTCTTTAATCTCTGTCATTTCAAGATCTTGGAGTATTGACTGATTTTTTCTTCTGGTTTAGATTCACATTTACATACTTGTTGATGTGTTTAATAATTTTTGACTAGGCATAGACAACAGGGCAGTATGCATGTTGTGTTAATTAGTACTAGGTTGTTTTTATTTCTTTAAAGAGCCTTGTTAGTGTGAGTCTAGAACAGATGTTTACTCCGTGTAGTCAACAGAGACATTCCACTCTGGCTAGTTTGAGCTCAAATGTCTGTTAACTCTATACAGGCTCTGGGAATTGTTTAGGTTACAATCTTCTAGTTGTTCATTGCCCAGTCTTGTGCATTTTACCCTAAATATAGTTGACTTATTGCTTAGTTACTGATTCAGAGGATCCTTATACAGATTTTTCCTCTGCAATAGTCTACCTTGAATACATAAGCTTCTTCAGACTCCCTTAACTCTGGTTTTCATCTCCTTAACTTATTGAGATTGTCATTTTCTGTTTCAAAATCGCCTTTCCTGCATTCTGGTCCAGAGAATGCTTCTAGGCAGAAAGCTGGGATGAACATAATATTCAAACACCTTATTTCTTTCCTTCCTTTGGGGGATCATAGTTCTATGCCATTTTCCAATGTCCAAACCAGCTGTTTCATATGGTTTGTTGAATTTTGAGTTTTTTACAGGAAGTTAGTGTCAGTTACTTCAACATGGCCAAAAGTGGAAGTCTGTTATGGAATTTTTGTTCCTTTTGCTAGTTTTTGATCACATGTTTACTTGCTTGATGGATAGAGAGTCTGATATAGTTCATTTAGCTATAAGTATATGGACACTGTTTCTTGGTTAGATCTTCCATCTCTCTTCCTTCCTCCTCCTTCACTACCCTAAGAAAGACACTAGCAATAAAACTTTTAAAACAGGATTCCAGAGAGGCTCAGATAAGAAATGTAACCACAGATTATCTTTCTCCATCTGCTTTTCAGTTTATGTAGAACAGGGGGACCAAGTATAAAAATCATTAAACTTTTAAAATTTCCGTTGATCAGTTTGAATTTGTAAGAATAAATAGCTTTATGTTTGACTTAAAAATTAAAAAAATTACTCTACCATGGTGTATTGCAGTGAACTTTGTTATCTTCTTAGAAAAACATGTCTCAGAGTTTAGATGGAATTTACAAAGGAAAATTACCCATCAATATTAAAGCATAATAGTAACACTGTTTTTTATCAACTACAGTAATATATATATAATACCATTCATTTACATGTATGTATGGATAGACATTTACACACTTACAAGATATGAAGAAATGTAACTGTTTTTATTTCTGTAACATTCCCAATTATTTCTAACTAATCCCCAAACCCAGTAAAAGCAGAAATACTTGCTACTTTAAGGTTACCTGTTTCTGGTTTAAAGCTTAGTCTTTTTGAAAAAAAAAGTATTCAGGATAAATATTCACTTTTTCTGTCTGCTCTTTTCTCTAGAAGATAATTTGGAAGTGTGTAGGATAGGCTAAGAAGATTAGAGATGACAAGTAGGATGTTTATTAGTATAAAGTTATTATAGAACACGGACCTAAACCAAGTTAGTAGGAGTGGAAAGGAGATGATAAATATGAGACAAAGATGCCATCTCAGAAAGGTTGATGACCACATCCCCAGGTCACCCAGCCTCTGTCATTGTGTCTCCAACATACGAGCCATTTGGGCTTGGCCCTTCTACGTATCTGTTCTAAAAACCGGCAAATAGGGTTACACCTCTTGTGTCACTTTATGTTGGGCAATCTCAGTAATAGGCAATTTGCTAAATTATTACAGCAACAAAGCTTTTTAAGATTTCATCTGTGTATAATGGTGACACTATTCACTCTAACCAGCCAGGTGCCAGAGGCTTTAGGCCGCCTAAGCACCATAGTATAGACTATAGTGCCACCTTGTGGTGTTGGTGTTTCAGATGGTTACAGACTGATGATTTTCCCCTAGCATTTCTCTGATTATAAAATTGATTTTCTCTTTTTCAAATTAGGCATTTTATCTTTTTGAAAAGTAAATTTCATTTTTAATAATTGACTTAAAATCATCAATAGCTGTAGCTTTTAGAGCGTTTAAAAGGACATTGTATGCGAATATAAAAACTTCTTTCAAGTCAAGTTTTTGCTTTATACTAATTCTGGATTGTATCTCTATAAAATTGTCACAATATGTTTAATTTTCAAATGCTGTAGATTTCAGGTTGTTGCTAGGTATGTTTATGTAATGTGATGCTGATTGTTCTTACTTTATGGGGCTTCGCTTTAAGGTCTTTGTATAAAATTATGCATTTAAAAACTCAACAAAGATATATATTCATTCTAATTAAAGGAAGTTACCAAAAATGTAAAGATCTGCATATATTACCTATTTTCCTCATTGTCTCACTGATTAGATATGGAAGAAACATTTCAAATTTAGACTTAAAAATTATCTTTGTAACTCCAAAAAATTAATAAAGAATGTTTAATTTACTTAAGAAGATGATATTCAATGTGCCTGAGTGGGTTATGTATGTCAGAGAGAGATAAAGAGAGAGAGAAATGGCATAAATAAACTTAAAAATTGTGAAGATTAATGTATGTTTTTCAGCTGAGATTATTTGGTAATTATAGAAATTACTGGAACATCTTGGGATGTTATGGGTGCCAAATACTTCCTAGGCACCATGATAATTTCCTGCAAGGTCCATGGATTAATGTAAAATTTTGTGATATGCCAACACTTACATTTTTCTGTTTTTCAGGAATCAATAATATTATATTTAATGAAAGACAACACCTGAAAACTATCTTTTCAAGCAAGTCACGTCTTTCACTTTTTCACTTCACTTTTTCTGTCACTTTTTCTGTCTGCTCATATCATTGTTGTGATTTCTTTCTCCTTTCTTGGATATTGAGCATGTGATTTTTTGAGTGGCAGGTGAAGGCTGAGTGTAATTCTATATACAGTATTTTTTTTTTCTCAGTACTTTTAAAAATTTCAACTTTTATTTTAGGTTCAAGGGATGCATGTTCAGGTTTGTTACAGTGGTATACTGTGTGAAACTGAGGTTTGGGGTATGAATGATTTCATCACCCAGGTAGTGAGCCTAGCACCCAACAGGTAGTTTTTAAATTCTTGTCTCCCTCTCTCTCTCTCTAGTAGCTCCCAATGTGTGTTTTTCCCATCTTTATGTCTATGTGTACTCAATGATTAGATCCCACTTCTATGTGAGAACAAGTGGTTTTTGGTTTTCTGTTCCTGTGTAATTCACTTAGGATGGTGGCCTCCAGATGCATCCATGCTGCTGCAAAGGACATGATTTCTCTCTTTTTTTGTGGCTACATAGTATTCCATGGTGTATATATACCACATTTTCTTTATCCAGTCCACCTTTGATGGACACCTTGGTTGATTCCATGTCTTTGCTATTCTGAATAGTGCTATGATGAACATATGAATGAATGCATGTGGTCAATTAAAACTATTTATTTTCCTTTGGATATATAGCTAGTAATAGGATTGCTGGGTTGAATGGTAGTTCTGTTCTAAGTTCTTTGAGAAATCTACAAACTACTTCCACAGTTGACTGAACTAATTTATATCCTCACCAACAATGTATAGGCATTGTCTTTTCTCTGCAACCTTGCCACTATCAATTTTTTTTTTTTTTTTTTTGCGTTTTAATAATAGCCCTTCTGACTGGTGAGATGGTATCTCACTCTGGCTTTTATTTGCATTTTTCTGATGATTATTAGTGATGTGGAGCATTTTTTCATGTTTTTGGCCTTATGTATGTCTTCTTTTGAGAAATGAGTACAATTTTCGAAACATTGATTGCATCACGTTTTTTGTTGTATTTATCTTCTCACTTATCGAAACCAAAACAGAGCAACCAGCAGGGGTCAGGCTTTTATAGTGTATGGATTTGAACTTTCCATCTCTCACAGTGTCTTTTAGGAACGTGCAGGTTTCTTGATTACACCACTAGCATTGTACTCTTTAGAAATGAATACTTACCAGTTAATTTGTTAACTAGAACCAAACCAAATTAGTGTAGAATTGTGAGGCTCCGTAGAAGCTTTCTGAGACAAAATTATTTGTTTAAACTTTGACCGGGCATGGTGGCTCACACCTATAATCCCAGCACTTTGAGTGATGGAGGTGGCAGGGTTGTTTGCTCCCAGGAGTTCCAGACCAACCTGGGCAACATAGCGAGACCCCATCTGTATTTAAAAATATAAAATTAAAAATAAAATTATTGCCAATCTGCTACTAAAAAAAAAATCATTCTTTAGAAAGATTTTATTTGGTACATTTCTTCTAGTAATCGCTGATGAGCTCATTAACGTTTTGCATTAGGTTATCTATGTGCATGAAAATGAGTAAGTGTGAGATCTATTTTAGGATGCTGAAAAGTAAAGGAAACATGTAATGCATTTGTTCTGAATATGACTAATTGTGTCTTTTAAATTCAGGACCTGGCCTTTCATTATCAAAAGCCCCAAGCAATATAAAAACCTTTCTTTCATGGATGCTATGAATAAGTTTAAATGGACTAAAAAGGAAGGTCTCTCCTTCAACAAGCTGGTCCTCAGCCTGCCAGTGAATGTGAGATGTTCCAAGACAGACAATGCCGAGTGGTCGGTAAGCTCTTTTTAACCTCTGACAACCCAGATGACATATTTTACCTGAATCTATTACAGGAAAACCTAAGGAGAAGACAAATATCCATAAATGCAGGGGTCCAGTTGCCTTTTAATGTCTGATAATTTTTGTTCAGTGATTACTTGGGTTGACTGAAAACTCCTCATTCTACCCCCTTTCAAGAGATACATTAGTTCTAAAACTAAGGTTGGGATAGAGCAGGAACAGGCTGGAATGAGTGCTGCAAAAAGCAATAGAGCCTGCTTTGTATTCTTTTCCAAAGGCATGCCTGGTCCTCTTTTCCGTTGCCTCCTAAATCCTAGGTTTCTGACTCCCCCAGTGTGTGACTCCTTTGGTAACCACTCGTGCCTCCTTTATCCCCTGCAGAAGTGTGGGCAGCTGAGCGTGCTTGGTCACTGCCCTGCTTTAAATCAGATGTTCATTTGCATTCTTTGTGCTTCCGTTTTCAGATTCAAGGAATGACAGCATTACCTCCAGATATAGAAAGACCCTATAAAGCAGAGCCTTTGGTGTGTGGCACGTCTTCTTCCTCTTCCCTGCACAGAGATTTCTCCATCAACTTGCTTGTGTGCCTTCTGCTACTCAGCTGCACGCTGACCACCAACCGCTTGTGATCAAAATTCTGCTGAACTTGACAATATTTTCTATGATCTGAACCTGTCATTTGAAGTACAGGTTAAAGACTGTGCCCACTTTGGGCATGAAGAGTGTGGAGACTTTTCTTCCCCCTTTTCCCTCCTTCCTTTTTCCTTTCCATGTTACACGAGAGGCATCAATCAGGTTCTCTTATCTTTCATAGAAATATCTGATGTTACATATGCATGGTCAATAAAATAAAACTGGCCTGACTTAAGATAACCATTTTTAAAAATTGGGCCATCATGTGGGAATGTTCTTTATTTCCTATTACATTCTGTTTTATTTAAATACTTATTGTTGCTATTTCACTTTTTGACTTGACTTTTGTATTTCTTTAAAAATTTCCTTCCTTTTAAAAAATATAAAAGGGACTACTGTTCATTCCAGTTTTCTTCTTCTTTCTTGTTGTTCTAGTATGACTTTTCAAGTGTAACACCGTTCTTCCTGTCTTTAACATTGTCCAGTTCTGGTCTTTTCTGTGAACTACCACTGGGCCCCTTACCTCAATGCTTTTTGTTGATGCCCACTCTGGTTCCCTTGTTTATCTGAGTCTGTTGGTACCCCAAATGACCCCACACCCATCTTAAAGTACTTTTTTTCACCTTCCCTGTTTAGTACTGGCCAGATGAGTTTTTCCTAGCACTCTGTCACTATCTGAAAAGAAAGAGGCTGTGGGAAACACAGAAATGGTATGCATTAATAACTGATTATAGGCGGAAGAGAAAAAAATGTAGCTGACTGCAAACCCAGTGCTGTGAGGGGACTTGTATGAGGTTCCAGGTCAAAGACAAACCGTGTGAGCCAGTCCAGAAGGGTGTAAGTTCTCTGAATATTCCTTGCTGATTGTTGGGTGACACACGTACCACATACTGTCTCCATTTAAGTCATGGTTCTACTGTAGATTTATTTTTATATTAGTTAATAAATGACTTAAAATCGTCAGCAGTTGAAAATCTTGTCACTCTTTCGCTTTTCTTTATATAACTCAGTCAAATCTTTTTTTATGTCCTCTCCTCATCTCTTAAGCTAAATCTGTTTGGATCATGTTAATAAACTAAATGAAATGATATTTTTGTGTGGTATTTTATACACTCCTTAAGAAAAATAAGTGATTCAGTCCTAGCATTGACAGTAAAAGTCAATTAAGAATGTTGCATTTTCCATTCCATTTTGAAGCCCTTTTTGCCCCACAATGTCTTCAACACAAACCATATTGCCTTTTAAATAAATATGTTTCAGAGTATTTCCTTCTTGATTCTTAGAACTTGTACATTTGATGAAATGTTTTTAATATTTATGAGGTATATTTTTGAATTTACTTTATTTCTTTTTGTTTTATTTTATAAGTGCTATTTCACATTCTATGATTTTCCATTCAAATATTTATATGAGAAATATAATTCCAAATACTCCCTATTTGAAATTTTATGTTGATTTTTACTTCAGAATTTCTGAATTTGATGTATCAACGTCAAATGATTTCCTCTTGAGATTCTGTAATATTATATTTGTTATTACCAAGAACAAATATTCTGTAATATTATATTTGTTCTTGGTAAGCAAGGTGAACATACCAGCTAGAAGAAGGTAAATAGCTTTGGAATCTTACATTTATGGAGCCAGGCCAGGGAATCTGTTCCACTGATGTTACTAAGAAGAAAGTTGACATTATTCTTCTGGAAATTCTCATGAATACATGTGATTTCAAGGACTAGACTCTGTTTCAAATTAGGATAGGTTATCTGTTGTAAGTTCTATAGAATCCTGATTATATTCTAAGTTGTTTGATCTTATGTTGAGCACACCTTCCTGAATAGCCAGGTTTTTTATTACACTTTTTTCAGAGAGGCTTTTAATTGCTTTCCTGGATTAAATAGCATCTCCTGACGCCTAGGCTGTCAGGCACAAGTCCCCGAGACTTCGGGGAGTATGGGGTCTCCATGTACGATGGTCCCTGGTTGGATCCTTAGGTTCAGGGAGTGTGGAGAAGACATATCTGGTGAAACCAATATTCATCAGTGCCATGTGAAATTGAAGGTATACTAGGTGATCTTTTTTTTTTTTTTTCTGAAGGGGGCTCAGGCAGAATCAAAGGAGTCCTAGCAGTGATAAGAGTATGTAGTCAATAAAGGTAAACATATTAATAGTTTTGGACTTTGTCCTAATGGCTCCAGAGGCCAATGATGGTTGGCAAACAAAAGGACATTTGGAAGCAGTATGTAATGGCTATGTATAATTCGCTCAGCTAAACTCACTATTGGGTATCAAAGTCATTTCAATTTCTAATATAAGTATTGCTGATTTAACAGCTTTGAAATTAAAACTTTTTTATATCGCTAAGTATTTTCTTATATTTAGGTCATAATAAGTGGAATGACAGAAATAATCATTGCATATTTCAAGAATTTTGAAGAAATATTGCCATGATTAACTTATTCTCAAATGGTTTGGAAAAATATCTATCTATCTATCTATCTATCTATCTATCTATCTATCTATCTATCATCTATCTATCTATCTGGCATTTGTCTATTTATCTACAGAGAGAGACATGTGAAATGATAATAATGGGTGAGTCTAGTTGGAGAACATAAGATTTCTTTGTACTATTGTCACAGTTTTTTAAGTTTGAAATTATTTCAGAATAAAAAGCTAGAAACACAAAACACATCATGAAGGATCCAGCTACAGCACAGTGATCCAGGTAGGTTTTCTTCCCTATGCAGTATTGCTCCATTTTGAGGTGGTAAAGAGAGAAACTGGATGGTGCTTACTCCTCAGATGCCCCTGAGAGAGGGCAGAGATGATTGCAAGTTTGTCAGTTCAGACTAAAGATAGGATGTGCTTCCAGTTTGGAGAAAGAAAGAAGGGAAGGAAGGAAGGAAGGAAGGAAGGAAGAAGGAAGGAAGGAAGGAAGGGAGGGAGGGAGGAGGAGGAGGAGGGAGGAGGGAGGGAGGGAGGGAGGGAGGAAGGGAGGGAGGAAGGGAAGGAAGGAAGGAAGGAAGGAAGGAAGGAAGGAAGGAAGGAAGGAGAGAAAAGGAAGGAAAGAAAGAAAAAGAAAGAAAGAAAGAAAGAAACCAACCAACCAAAAAACAGAGGGCTTGAGGGACCCAGGGAATGAGGAAAAATCCCAAAAACTAAGAAAAGAAAAAAAGAAAAGGACGAGGTGTTGCAGGCTGGAAATCTGCTCTCCCCCTGATTATAAACCTAATGTGTAATAATGCCCATTTGCTAAAGAAAATTTAGACAAGTATGATAATTTTTTAAATAATGAAATCTGTTAATCCTATTGCCCAGAGAATAAATAAAACCTGTTAATAAATACAAATAAATAAAATATGTTAATTCTATTCCCCACTTCTAACTTTTATGTGCATATGCTTCTAGTATATGTCCGTGAAGGTGTGTATCTGTGTGTATTCATATGTAGATGGAGATATAGATGTTAGGTAACACTAGTTTCTGAAACAAATTCCAAACTATCAATGCTTTAACACAATGAAGTTTATTCTGTATTCAATTAATTGCTCAATGTGTGTGATTCATTTAGTCACTGGCTTTCCTTCTTGTGGTGGTTCAGGGACCCAGGATCCTGTGGCCTTATCATTCCTAGGGCCTCAGGGTCATCTGCATTCAGCCTGCTAATAGAGAAGGACCTGATCTGGAAAGGGCAAAAATCAATTCCACTTTCACCATGTTGGTTAAAATAAATCACATGATCTCATTGAAATGCAAGAGGGGCTAAGAATGTCATCTCTCTCTGGGTACCTGTAGAATGACAACACTACAGAAAGGAAGCCATCTCTGCTGCAATATGTATTTTCAGTAAAATTGACTTTCATCTACTCACATGATTCCAAGGTTTTTGAGTTTTAAAAACAATGATCAAACCAACATAGGGTTGTCAACTATATGTTTGGCAAAATAGGATACTAAACAGAATAGTTATTATTTATTTAATAAATCAACAAATTGTATCGAGTTTATGTTGAACCATGCTCTGTACTACAGTGTTGGGCTTACAATTGTGATGAAGCCCCATAGCTGAGTACACTAAACCTCCTATCACCAACATTTCATTTTACAAATTGGAAAGATTCAAAATAAATATCAGTTATTCAAACTGAATAAATTTAGCTTTACGGAAAGCTTACATCATCATCATGGACCATCCTTTCTCCGTAGATTATTTGGACTATGAACTTAGTTTATATCATTTTGATCATCTTAGCCCTACAAGACTTTAACTGACAGTTGTATCTAAATCCAACATAGTCAAACCGGTATTTCATGAGTAGAAAATGGTCAATTGAACAGGCTCATGGCAGCATCCATTACTCCCCAGGCCGGAGCTGTGATCCATGGAAAATATGAAGAGTCATGGAACACTGTTACAAACTTAAACAGGCTTACTGCATGACGTCTCTGACTTAAATATAATGATGTGCATTTGAAAGTCCAAGAAGAGTTATATAGTATGGAACATTTCTCAAACTCATTTCACCAAACCCCTGTTGTGGGTGAGCAATGTTCCCAAAGGAACACACTCTGGGGCACACAACTTTCTGAGCAGAGCATGTCCAGGTTTCTTTAACAAGTTCTTGGAAACTTCCAAACTGTTCATGGGCAACTATAAAACATAGCCCAACAGACATAAGCCTGACACTTAGGTTCATGGTCTATTCCTTATTTGCTGTGCTATTTTGCCAATAAACAAACACATCCTCTATTATTATTATTATTATTATTATTACTAAGAGAGAGGACTCAAGCAATCCTCCCCCCACAGCCACCTGAGTAGCTGGGACCACAGGTGTGCACCACCATGTCTGGCTTTTTTTTTTTTCTGTTTTTGGTAAAGACAGGGTCTCCCCATGTTGCCCAGGCTCATCTCAAACTCCTGAGCTCAAGCAATCTATCCTCCTCGGCCTCCCAAAGTGCTGGGATTATAGACTTGAGCCATTGTGCCTGGCCCTCTGCTTTTTATTAATCTAGAGTGGTACAACTTACAGAAAAAAATGAAAAAACAATTTACCATTTTCTAAAGGAAAATGCTAAAATGAATTATTTGACATCAATAAGGTATTTAAGAAATGTTGACAAAGCTGCATGTCTTTGGAACATTTCAGACCTATAGATACAGACTACCTTTATTTCACAAGTAATTTTATTCTTTAAGAGAATCCTAAATTTCAAAATCCTGCCTTACTTCCCAACAACGAAAGCAGATGAATTAAAAAACAAAATTCATCAGATGAGTTCTAAGTGACTCTCTCACAGGTCACAGCCTTTTCACTTTCTAAAGGTCGTCCATCACAAAGAACAAAA